AGGAAGATGAGGCTTTCAGGGCATTTAAAATTCAGATTTTTTATGAGAATCCACACAGAAATCCTTGTTTATCTTTCTTTACATCTTTACATTTACCTTTCAGGAATACTTGACCCTCCCAAAAGCTATATATCTATATATCTATCTATCTATAGATCTATCTATATCTATATATATGTATGTATGTATATACGCTGCTCAAAAAAATAAAGGGAACACTAAAATAACACATCCTAGATCTGAATGAATGAAATAATCTCATTAAATACTCCTTTCTTTACATAGTTGAATGTGCTGACAACAAAATCACACAAATTATCAATGGAAATCAAATTTATCAACCCATGGAGGTCTGGATTTGGAATCACACTCAAAATCAAAGTGGAAAACCGCACTACAGGCTGATCCAACTTTGATGTAATGTCCTTAAAACAAGTCAAAATGAGGCTCAGTAGTGTGTGTGGCCTCCACGTGCCTGTATGACCTCCCTACAACGCCTGGGCATGCTCCTGATGAGGTGGCGGATGGTCTCCTGAGGGATCTCCTCCCAGACCTGGACTAAAGCATCCGCCAACTCCTGGACAGTCTGTGGTGCAATGTGGCGTTGGTGGATGGAGCGAGACATGATGTCCCAGATGTGCTCAATTGGATTCAGGTCTGGGGAACGGGCGGGCCGGTCCATAGCATCAATGCCTTCCTCTTGCAGGAACTGCTGACACACTCCAGCCACATGAAGTCTAGCATTGTGTAGCATTAGGAGGAACCCAGGGCCAACCGCACCAGCATATGGTCTCACAAGGGGTCTGAGGATCTCATCTCGGTACCTAATGGCAGTCAGGCTACCTCTGGCGAGCACATGGAGGGCTGTGTGGCCCCCCAAAGAAATGCCACCCCAAACCATTACTGACCCACCGCCAAACCGGTCATGCTGGAGGATGTTGCAGGCAGCAGAACGTTCTCCATGGCGTCTCCAGACTCTGTCACGTCTGTCACATGTGCTCAGTGTGAACCTGCTTTCATCTGTGAAGAGCACAGAGCGCCAGTGGCGAATTTGCCAATCTTGGTGTTCTCTGGCAAATGCCAAACGTCCTGCATGGTGTTGGACTGTAAGCACAACCCCCACCTGTGGATGTCGGACCCTCATACCACCCTCATGGAGTCTGTTTCTGACCGTTTGAGCAGACACATGCACATTTGTGGCCCGCTGAAGGTCATTTTGCAGGGCTCTGGCAGTGTTCCTCCTGCTCCTCCTTGCACAAAGGCGGAGGTAGCGGTCCTGCTGCTGGGTTGTTGCCCTCCTGCGGCCTCCTCCACGTCTCCTGATGTACTGGCCTGTCTCCTGGTAGCGCCTCCATGCTCTGGACACTACGCTGACAGACACAGCAAACCTTCTTGCCACAGCTCGCATTGATGTGCCATCCTGGATGAGCTGCACTACCTGAGCCACTTGTGTGGGTTGTAGACTCCATCTCATGCTACCACTAGAGTGAAAGCACCGCCAGCATTCAAAAGTGACCAAAACAGCCAGGGAGCATTAGAACTGAGAAGTGGTCTGTGGTCACCACCTGCAGAACCACTCCTTTATTGGGGGTGTCTTGCTAATTACCTGTAATTTCCACCTGTTGTCTATTCCATTTGCACAACAGCATGTGAAATTGATTGTCAATTGACAGTTTGATTTCACAGGAGTGTGATTGACTTGGAGTAACATTGTGTTGTTTAAGTGTTCCCTTTATTTTTTTGAGCAGCAAGTTTACAATAATATCTGTATTTTTTCCAGCTCTGAGGCAACCCCGTGGCACTGCTGGTAGGAACCTGGTGGAATTGCATTACTCTGCCGAGTGAAAACTTCAGGCCTGCACTTAAGCACAGTCAGACATTATTCTCATACATTCATAGCATGACTGTGACTCTATTCTAATTATTAAGTACCCCAACTTCATAAAGCTTATTTTCCTCCCTTTTTCTGAGTCAAGCTGGTCTAATACCATGCTTGTATGGCAGTCTTTGAAGCGGAATAGGTCCCTGTTTGATATGCGTGCAGGCGCCTGTGGACAAATGATTTGCTTCATGCTCTCCTGTCTTTGTTCCTTTGTTCATTTTTTTCGTCTTTCATGACGTGATTGCGCCAAAACTATGTATGCATATTCATAAAAATTTTATTTTTATTAACGCATGTTTTGTCTCTTCCAGACGATGTTGAAATAATGCAATTATCGGGTGTTAGTATGGGTTAATAGCGTGCAATATACTGTTTTTTAGGCAAAATGTTTGCTGAATCCGGTTGTGTGATTAATTACTCTCCTTATTCTTCACAAAAGGACGGAATGTGTACTGCATTGAATTCCCAATATATAGAAAAGTTGTATTTAATTTGTAAGAACCGTAGAGTATTGAATTTTATTTCATCAAACTTTACAGAGCCCACAAAACACTTGGACTAATCTAAGATATTTTGCACTAATGATGCACCACAGTTGCCTTGGAACCAAATTTTTTGAGACTGGAGGAAAATTGTCCATTTAAATACACCCAGAATTGCAGCTTAATGATTAATGTAGACTTTTTCTAAAGTAATCCCTTTGAGCTCCGATTCAAGGTTCATGAAAACTAAATCTACTCTATGTATGTAGGTAACATAACATACATACCTTCATAAAATCTAATTTCTAACGTTTGTGCAGTTTTGTTTTTCACATTTGAATTGTGCATGTTTTGTACAGAAGAATGCTAGTTTAGTATAGGGTACTATAAGGATGTAGTACTGTTGACATCAGTGTAAATGATAGATGTGGTGGAAAACTAAGAACAATGCATTTATTGTGGCCAGTGGGGACTTACTGTATTCTGCAACTGAATCATGTTGACTGTAGGGTTTCCTCCTCCTGTTGAACTCTATTAAACTTTACTAAATAATATGTAATACATTACCTGGACAATCTTAACTAGACAGCAACAACTGTCAGATTAAATGATTTCACAAACACGACAACAAATTCATGCTCTGTTACCAGTGTCAGTGTTTGAAAAGCTATTGAAAACTATTCAGAAGAGCAGATGGCAATGCTATTCCCACAAATAAAAAATAAAACCGCTATTAATTGGGTGGAAATGATTGACAGGTAGAAACAAAACCTGTTACAGCTGTGGTTGGTGCCACTCAGCCGAGCACTAATCGTCCAACAGACTTTGCTCATGGCCTGCTGACACCAAGCAGGCAAACCAGCTAATTAGACAAGATGGCTAAAAAAGTAAAGTCAATGCTCGTGGCAGCCAGAGTTGAGGAGGGAGCTGAGAGATGTGCTTTACAGACTAAAAGGGAGACATAAACAGGCGAAAGCACCCACACACACACACACACACACACACACACACACACACACACACACACACACACACACACACACACACACACACACACACACACACACACACACACACACACACACACACACACACACACACACACACACACACACTCTGTTTGAATTAGAGCCAAAAGCTACAGCAGAAGCTTTTTGTCTGCAAACACAATGACAGCAGATTTTTTATTAGATTTGCTGACCTATAAAGTCAGAAGAAATTCAGTGTTAGAAATGGTTTACTATTTAATTTGCTGCAGATTGTAAGAACATAGTGACAGATAATAGTGAATGAACAATGGAAAGCGCCAGGTGTAAATCTACTGTGGTGAGTATGCTCATTTCACATTAGACGCGATCCCACAGCACCACTCTCAGGCTGTTCGTCAGCTCAGCTTATTCAGAGCAACTGCTGCGTGAATAAATGCAACTGCAATGGAAAAAGTTACATGCAAATTTGTATTCCTGACATTTGTGCCTGTTGAAACATGGTCAGTGGTTTGTTATTTTCCTTAAAGATTAATTATTTTGCACGACTACATTCCTCACAAAAACATCCCTGTGCTCTATTTACAGTACCATCCATTCATTTGTGAAGTTGTTTAGAAGTTTATCAGGTCGAAGATAATTACTGATTTATTCAGTTAACTGTTGATATATTGACCACTGAGTCGCACCACTCACTGTCGTACTGGGAGAATTTGATGCCCCTGGTCTACAACTATAGAGACAACTGAGTTTCCTGATTTGACCACTAGATGTCAGTGTTGGCCAGGTGTCCTTTCAGGTCTGAAGGATTCAGATAAATCAAATCACTTTTAGTTCAACTTTTTGGAAAATAAACATTGTGATATGTGCCCTCAAAAAAAAAAAAAAGTAAATCACATCTTTTTGCATGTTGATTTTTTTTTTTTAACTGAGAGTGAACTTGTTCATTTAGCACCAAAACAGCACAAAGGAAAATTTAAACATGGAAATTAACGCAATTACCACCTATAACTAATGTATATTATAATATTATATTAATTTAATTGCGTAAATTACATATCTGTGCTCATCATATGGATGAAACATGTATCTAAAAATTGCATCATAAAGGCTGTCTCCTTGAAGAGTTAATTCTCCCTTACGCACTGCTCATGCCAAACAAAAAGCCTTATGTGACTCGTAAACCTCAGTGGTCACCTTTCCTGTTAGTGGTGGCTGAAGGATTCACGTTGAGCGGATTTGTTAGCACTTCAGTAACCACAAAGAGAGAGTTGGCTCAGTACCCCTTAGCATAATAGCCTTTGTGAATGCGTGTGGATTTGGCTGTGAAACCTGTTTGGCCTCAGGCTGCCTTGTTATGTGGACAGTTATGTGGACCACCTCGCCTGAGCTCTACAGGGACACAGACTGCTCCACACCACATCCTCTCTAACAGGGCATTGACACACAGCTGCATTGCCAGTAGTCAAACAGAAAGGACAGAAGGCTGTGTGTACATTATAAGATAAGTAGTAGTCACACTGAAAACTAATTATCTTATTTTACCAATTAAATAATTTAACTAGACTATTTAAAGTATCCATTAAGTGCGTTATCACTCAGTGGGCCCTCATTACTGCTGGATTTAATTATGTGTCTTTCTCTGTCCAGATAACCACGTCCTGCAATTTGGGAAGCTAGTAAGCACCTCCAACACCTATGAACCCGTTTCCCCTGGAAAGCCCAGGAAGCCTGTAACCATTACAACAGACCAACCTCTGCTCTGGAGCATGGGCATCAGCAAGGAAAGGGAATGACACAGAAGAAATACTTCTACTCAGCCAGTATTTGACTCATCAGGACATGCAACAACTATTCTACAGCTGAGCGACCGCAAACTCAAGTTTTGTATGCTTTATACAGTATGAAGTGGAAAAGAAAAAGGTGAAAGCATAATCTCATGTGGCCAAAAACTTCACATTGTTTCTACGAGTGATAGAATGATGAATGACTTTGTTAGATCTTAAACTGACTGATTGGTATAACAACTAAAATTACTAAAGTGGCACTCATGTGGGTGTGCTTCTTCATTGTACTGGATTTCTGCTTGTGAATATGCCCCTTATAAGACCAGAATCCAAGCTCCATTACATACAAACATTTGTTCCCTTCACAAAAACAAATTTTGATATCAGGTGCAGACTTGGATATATCACTATACCTACAGTTCACAACATGTGCCTTTGTCCTGTTCCCTATTAACAATATCTGTTATATTCTATGAAAAACAAAATACCGTACACCCAGCTTCAAAGTATTTGTGCCTTTTGATGAGTTTAATACAGTGCTTTTGAAAGTCAGAAAAGGAAACGTGGCTATTTGAATAGACATGACAAATCAGTCTGTGGGTTTCCATTTGATTTATTTACACATTGAAATATAAATGTTGCACACAGAATGTAAAAATGCCATCCCTTCTGTCCCCCAATCGCACCAGCCCAATAACACTTGTCCCCAGGAATTGACCAGGGTTTAACCTCCACTAGGAGAAAAAAAAGAAAAGCAGAATTAGTGATCTAGAAATTTGATAGATGAACACAAATATTTTACTGAAATGCTCAGTTTTGATGACCAAGCAAACCAATTAATTACTGCTTAAGAAAGCCACCAAGATACAATGATTGTGTATGTAAGTATCACTTGCAAAGAGTTTTTCCTTCCAAAAAACAGACAATCCAACTTTTGCAGGGTACTGTACATTCATTATATTAATTAATTAATTAATGAATGTGAATGAAAGTGTGACCTGTCATCTTTTGTGTTAATGATAAAAACATAACTATGCATCTAATAACCAATGATGTTGCATTAATGCCTGTTTAACTGTTCCATGATTTAAGTAATAATAAAGTCTGTTTTATGCAGTAGATAATCCTAAATCAGATTTAAATAAATAAGTGTTCACATTAAATACTTGTTGAAAAGTGGCCTTACTAAATCGCTTCGCTTTCTGGGAACTTGAGCTAGCAGTTGGTCATTCAGATTCTTGTTGAAACTATCTAATGGTGACTAAAGATGTACGGTCTTGCGGTATGGAAAGCACGAGTGCTGGGGGGGGTTAACATTACGCAAAAATCAAGGCTCTGTAAATGCTGCCGTTTTGATATGTTTTACATTAAATAAACTTGCCATGTACCACAGATCGCCAGACATTACACTTTTCAGTGAAATCCTGCATACCCAATTCATCTGTACCTAAATATTTTTCGAGACAATAAAGCAGTTGATCAGGAGAGGGGAGTGGGTCATTAGAAACACCCCCCATTCATCACTGCAGAGTGTAACAATTCTTTAAGCATTTTAATAACAAATAAACGGTTTAAGAAATCACCAGTTGTATGATACAATTTACAATGTAAATAATGCATCTGTTACTACTACTTACACAATGATGTTGTTGATGGGGATGTGGATGAGTTTGACGAAAAAACCAATGAAACCCATGATGGCAAACCCAATCGCTGTTGCCATAGCAATCTTCTGGAATTCTGAAGGAGGAAAATAAAACAACATCAAAATACAGCAAATAAATAAAACAAAATAAAAATACCCATCGTGCTCTTTGGATCCCCAAATGTGTTAAAGGCAGCTGAGCAGCTGGGGCTTTATACGAGGGTTCGACGCTGCCAGCACAACAAAGACTGGGCCAAATGAAAGCAGTATGAACCTACCTTTTCTGTCAGGTTTTGTGCATCTCTTCACGAGCCTTATAGAGTCTTTGACGAACTGCCGACTGGGCTCAACAAACTGCATGACCTGATCCATGGTGTTTAGGCTGCGGGCGGAATAAAAAAAAAACAACTATCAGGGTTAAAGCCTCGGCTGCTCTCCGTGCTGACGTTGACTTCAGCAGCCTGAGCCTTTCATGACTCTCATGATGTTATAATCGTCAATATACCATCGGCCTTCTTTTTTTCCCCATCACATAATAACCAGTGTATTAAACAACATGTGTCCTTATCACTGAAAAACATGTTTTGAAGTTAGTTAACTCGTCCTTCCTAGCTAACGTTGCCTGACCCTAATGTAAGCTATCAGAGCGACGTAACGTCAGGTTGGCTGGAGGTCTAATAAATAAAACAAATTAAAGTTAAAAATCCAGTTAGTAGGTTTGCATTATGTGAAAATTCAATGCTGTTTAATAGAATATCGCTTATCTTACCTATTTCTGAGGTCGTGTTAGACGAGAAGACAGTCAGAGGAGTGAAGGCCACGTAGCTTTCAGGCAGCTTGTTAAAGAGGAAGAGCTGACGTAGACTTTACACGCGCATGCGTAAGAGAGTCTTTCTCTGTTTCCTTTGAGCTTGAAATGTTGTCTACACTGCCACCTGCTGTCCGGGAGTTTTTATTTATTTATAATAGACCAGTTGGATTACAGAAATAGTGGTAGGTGTTAACCTTTTTATATACAGTCTATGGTTAACTTACATTATGTAGCCTACATATTGTCAGTTTTACTCACTTTGATATCAGCCTTTATTCCAACTATCCTTAGTAGGGCTGCAAAATATTTCACCATACATATGACAAAGACAGACACAGACCCAGGTAAGACTAAAGGAAAAAGCATACATATCTCAAGGCAATACAGATCAATATGAGGAGTAAAAGTAACAAATGTTAAATGATAAAAATGGAGGTGATGTGAAAATGCATGTGAATTGAAAAATAAAGGGGTGACTGATGTGGTAAACTTGATTGATATTTACTTTTTGTTACTTCCACCCTTGAGGCTATCATAAATGCCAAATAAATGCCAAATTTTGGGTTGTGAATGATGATTGATAAATGAAAATGATGAAACAAGGTTATGTTACTACTGTTTTAATCAAATCAACTTTAAATCAATCAAATCACTTGATCATTTATCACTCTATTATTCATTTGTCATCCATTTTTACCCCTTGAATTTTCAATTCACATGTATTTTCATCACCTCCATTTTTATCATTTAATTATATCACCTTCACGCCTCATAGATCAAGGGCATCATAACTTCATAGTGACTGTATCAGTATATGTTAGTAACTATATATGGCATCAACACCAACATTTTCATGGACAATAACATTTCCACCATCCTCTGCACACCCTATCGTCCTATTCATTAACATCAGACATCAGATCGTCACCGTCAACAGCCAGTGATACTGCAGCAGGCACAAAGGACCTCCTGAGTCTCTCTGAAGTGCACCTGGGCAAAACAAACCTGTTGCTAAAAGAGCACTTCAACTTGCTAAAAACATTGTACGTTGGATGGTCCTCATTTTGCATAACATTCCCAAGCTTCCTACCCATTCTTTGCTCCATGATCACTTTAGTGGGTGAGGGTTCAAGCCAATAATAGATCCTGCCTTCCTGATTAGTTTATTGACGCCCCCCTCCCAAAACAACAGCATAAAATATGACATTTGCTACGATGCAGGTAACCTGAATTATTTTTAAGATTTAACATTACCAACTGCAATTACATAATTACAATTTTTTACTCTGCCTTTGTGTAATCTTTATAGTTGCAATCATTGAATCATATGGCACTTTCATTTCCTCTTCTGATTCTTAATTTCGCAGCTGTCAAGTATTTTTTTGTATCTTGAAAAAATAAATCCGGACTCACGATTGTTGATTGGTGAGTGTTATGCATCTAAATCATAATACACACATTGCTCTGAGGCAGTATTGGTCCTAGACTCTTCGTAGCCACTCCTCCTGCTCATGCCACATTCCTTTCGTCTTAAATACCCCCTCATGTGATTTAGATTAAGATACAGTTTCTAAATAGAATTCTGGCATTTGCACCTGATCTTTGTTTTCTATTATACCGACTCCTGGTGTGACAAGTCCCACACTTACAGTAATACTACAATGCTACTGGCAGCAGGGTTCCGACATTACTTTTTACATTTGTCTCTTTAATGAACTGACCATGGAGTAAGTCACACTGAAACTCAGTCATCTGTTTGGGTGGCATTTGCTAAGACTTTAAGACCCTCGATTCTGTCATACACTAAACTTACCTAATCTCTTCTAACTCTCAAAGGCGAAATTCATCCGTGTGAATGTGTTACTGAATCTAAAAAGGTCAAACCAACAACTTGGAAAATAATTAACATTAAGTAAATACACAACTTTGCAATGTTTGCCAGTCCAACACATTTAATTTTTACATTATGTACATATTGTTACATTAACATAATCCCAATTTATATGATTATTATTATGATTACAGTGTATTGAGGATGATGACAGTATTTCCTCAGTACAGCCACATAACCATTGTTTTCCCTTCCTCAATAACAATTTTAGACTGATGGTTCATGTTTTACTGATCAATAAATGTACATTCTGATACTTTAAGCGCTAAAAAAGCAGAGCAGGACCCACTACAGTACGTGCTTCAACTTTAACTGTACAGTACTTCATTCAAATGCTTCTTTAAAAAAAAGGGCTTTTGGCTGTTTAGAGTCAGCTTGTTCTCATCAGCCACACTAGAGCTTACAAACATGTAATGAGAGGCTTTTACAAACCAGTTCATTTTCATCCACTGCAAGAACAAAGCTGGCTAAAGCCTTTACTACAAGCTAACAAGATAGAACAGCATCTGCACTCAAGATACAAAACTGGCTAAACAAAGAATGTGTACAGTTTGGAAAAGTACAGTAAAAACATTAGTAGTAGAGTATTTTTTCAATTTCTACAAAAAGTACTGAAATGAATCTGCCTGTCAGTGAATGCAACCAAATTGTTTAGACATATGGGTGAAACATCATGCAATCTTGTTTGATAAATACAATTTGACTAAAATGTATGATTCATTTTTGACATTTTACAAAATAAAGGCGCTCTTGGTCGTGATCCACTGACCTTTGGACTGCATGGAACATTAATACCTCTATACATCCTTCACTGCACAGTCCATTTGCAGCTATTCACTGCCAGGTGATGCCAAGCATGTTGCAGCTGATCTCCCACAGTTTTTGGGCCAAGTCATCATCAGAAGCAATCCTTGAGCAACTTGCAGGAGCACAGTCACTGCGCACACACAGGGACAGAGAATGGCCGTTACACACTGTGTGGTAGTTTTGTGCGAGTGTTAAATAAGAATAAATATTGTTAGCTCAAAGCTACAGACAGTATACCCTTTGTTAGTCAGCAGGTAGTAATACTGAGCAGCATGAAGCCAGCAATCACAAAGCGCTTCGCCAATTGTAGTTTGGCTGAAATACTGTGTGTACCTGAAGTACCCTCCACTCTGGCTGTCCAGATGTGGCTCCACAGCACAGTAGATTGTGGTCTGTGCTCCCTCCACTGTTGTCTTGGTGAAAATCCTGAAGATCTTCACTGCCACCTGGATGCACTGGTGCTGGTGCCTCCACAGGTCGGACTGCACCACCCCCGGGTGCAGAGAGAACACGCTCACCCCTGTTCCTACAACACGTATACAGGCACCTACATGGTCACCTAGACGCATACTGTAGATTCATGTTAACATGAACAAACACGTATGACTGTATCATTAAGATTTACATACTCTGCGCACAATTTACACATATTTCTGTGCAAAATGTACTTCTTTTTCAAACAGTAGCTATAATCAGTGACAGACAAAAGTAAAATAGAAAGGCCACATTAGCCATAGTATTTGCATTTTATTTTAATTTTGTTCTTTCCTCCTAATGTCTTACCTTCTGGTTGTTTCTAAATTAAAATCCTAATGGACTGAGTTTTGATAGCTATACTCCAGATCTAGGGAGTCAGCCATTAGACTGTAGGGCTGTAAGTAATTTCTTTCAGTTCTTGGCCATTAAGCAACAGAACAAAAAGAAGAATTGATTGAGGCGACAAAATGGCTCAGTTCCAGTGAAAATCTGAAGTTGCTCAAAGCGAGAAAAGACAATTCAATAAGGACAAACAAGCGAGCTATCCAGTGTGCAAGTCATGGTAAGTATGGCCTTGCTTACATCAGCCTGTGCTTATGTAAAACTGAACACAATGCTGCTTTTCTGATTCACATTTCTTAGGCAGAACTGCAAAGGCTCTTCCTCTCTCCACCCACTATAAAACTCTCCAATTAGAAGTTAGCCATCAATCCTCCAAGCCCAGACATTAAGACTTTCCTTAGTGTCTCTGCAAAACCCTCCGACATGCGTACATGCTCACATGTTAACAGAACTGTGTGTGTCCCTCTATCATAGCTACATAACAAATATGTGAATCAAATTTAAAAATAAACCAACCTTGCGACCGTCTCACCTTGTAACCGTTTGGCAAGTGAGCGTGCAAAGAGGACATTGGCCAGCTTGCTCTGTCCATAGGCCTTCATGGTATCATAACTCCTCTCACTGTTGATGTCATCCAGTCGAAGCCCGGTCCAGGTGTGGGCCACAGATGCCACGACGACAATACGGGCAGGAGCTGAACGCTTGATGAGGTCTAGCAGCAGGTAAGTCAACAGGAAGTGACCTGAGGAAAATCATGAGACGCCCTTGGTGTACGTCTGATTCCATGTGAGTTGGAGTCACAAGTGGTTGTTTTTCATGATCAACCCCCCCACCCGCCCCGCCACGTTTGTGTTGTTTCTGCATGTGTGTGCGCATATGTGTGTGGGTGACCATGATGTTCAAGCACAGATTATTCTTCTCTCAGCCTGTGACAAAAATACCACAGAGGAAAGGATCATTTGGAAGGAAGTCATTCAATACAGGGAAAACAGACTGATAGCTTGAAGAATATATGAAACTCTGGTTCCTTTTCCTGACTGATATTTTGGTCAGGTCGGTCAGCTTAAATATTTTTACCTTCTTTAGTAGGAAAATCCCTCCTATTTGCTGCATTTTATGCCTGCTTGACAGAGTCTCGAAAAATGTACTTTCTAATCCAGTTAGAGACTTCCGCCAGGACTTACCCAGATGATTGACCCCTAACTGCATTTCAAACCCGTCTACAGTCTTGGAGTAGGGACACATCATGATCCCTGCATTATTTATCAGGATATTCACTTGTTTCTCTTCTGAAAAGAATAGAAAAACACAAAAAAGATAAGGAAGTTAGAAATTATTTCCCAGAACTATCATATGCTAAATAATAAATGGTATAACAAATGCGGTTGATGTTTGGTAAAAACTGCACTTTTTATAGCGATGTTGCTGTTCTCCTCCCAGCCCATGCACACACATCATTGCTGGCAGGGCTGCTATGCAAGGCAGTGGCACAACAATCAGGAGCAACTTAGAGCCCAGTGTCTAGCTCATAGACAGTCGGACAGGAGGATACAGGGACTGACCCACAAACCATGTGATGAATGGACAACCGACTGCAGAACCCCAGCTTCCCCATTTCAGAAACCCATCGGTATTTCAGAAAGTGAACACATTTGTTGATACTACCTCTGTTGATAAGCTCAGCAAACGCTCTGATGGACTTGGTGTCCGATAGATCCAGCTTCCTGATGATCACATTCTCGTTTCCCGTGTCTTCCAAGATCTCCGCCCGCGCCTCCTCTGCCCTCTCCAGGTCTCTGCATGCCATGACGATGCGCGCACCTGAGAAACAAGGCCAAAGGTCACGAGTTAAGCTCATGCTCGCCCCATTCCAAACTACTTTCCTCCCACAGTCTAAAGACATGCCGCTCGTGTGAACTTGAAACTTTAAATCGCCTCAACGTACAAGTTTGTGTGCTCGCTAGGAGAGACTCCAGTCCACTCATGTCCCTGAGTAAGAATAAGCATTTCAGAATGGTATCTCTTCTCGTTTTGTTTGAGGCTTTGTCTTTCTGCTGCAAGTAAACCTTATACAGTACATGTCACGAGAAGACCATTTTTTATAACCATTTTTACTGTATCAAACTAATGGCTGAAAATAAAGTAATATAAAGTTTCCAAACTCAAAACTACAAAAGTTTTGCTCATTTGCAGGCACACAAAGCTCCCTTCGTCAATTAAGGAGGAAGTACCTAAATCTCTCTGTGTGCTTTTTATCCTCATTTAATGTTCTCCAAACTCTCATTCAGCATCTCATTTAGCCGACTGCTCCGCTCACATGAACACAAGACTCTGTCAACTGTGTCATTCTCATTCTCTGACGCAAATTGCGATGCATTCTCCCTAATGAGCCCAGAGAGGGGCTTTGAGGACACATACACACAATCTCTCACTCTCTCACCCACCCAACCAGATAGACAGACGACCCCTGCCCACCGCCACACACACACACACACACACACACACACACACACACACACTCAACATACAAAATAGCTGCTGTGCCCAGCAATTATGAAAGAGGAGAGCCATTAATCAGTTGGAGCGTAGCGTCTGCATCCCATCCCAGTGTCTTTGTTTCTCCCCTGCTGTTCCCATGTGAGAAAACCCTGTTGTTCCCACATTTTCCCGGTAGCCTAAAGTTCATTTCAATAAAATAAAGTAGTAAACAAACGGAAGGTTATATTGAGCCACGTTAAAGATTATCCAGCAGAATAATGTCACTATGCAAATAAGGGCAAAATGCAACTAATGACTTAAGTCAAGCCTAAGCACATAAATGCACCTATAAATCTATGTTATAACCAAACAGATGAATGATTCAAAAGGTTGAGATTTAGTTTGTTTTTTTCCTGATACAGTGCCCCGAAGGAACATTCTGTTCCATGAATCTTTGGAAATCTAATCATGTTGTCATTGTGTTTTTACATAATCCCATTTACTGAAAGGTGATTTGACAGTGAATTCTCCAGAGGCAGGGACCACAGTATTGTTATTTCCCTCAGGCAGTAATGATTTTTTTCATCATGTCCTTTTTCTCCCCACTTTTCATGTTGTTGTTAAATAACATTCCTGGTTGCCCTTTCATTTACAAAATAAAAGCGAAATGTGCACAGACAGACAGGCAGACAGGCACGCGCACACACACACACACACACACACACACACAGTGGAGGTAGATTCAAGTGTAGACTAATTAACAAACTGAATCATGTACAGTACGCAGAACCGGTTTTCATGTGTGTGTCTGTGTGTGCATTGCTGGGTACATCCTCCCATCTCTCTTTGTTGCCTGCCCGGATCGGGAGGGGAACGGACCCTCACAATGCTCCCTCTGTCCCCTCGATGCCTTGCCTGTCCTCCATCACTGCCATTCGTCTTTCACTTGTATTGGTGAAGTGTTCATTTTAGTTAACATAGCCTCAAATCTCTTTTCTGGAATATGTAAGAGGTTAAGGTATGCTGAGGTTACACAATCACTTGATACAGCCTGATATTCCCATCAAAAAATATACAGTATTATGCACATTGAAAAAGCAAGCCAGTAGCATTTAACCTAATTCTATGGTGGAGGTCTGAGGACAGGGGCCACACTCAGAGATCACACTTTATAGCTTTAAACCCTCCAAGCATTAGAAGTACTTAACTCCACAGAAAAGAGTGGAATGCGTAAGGCATGGTGTGAAAGTTAGTGAAAATTAAAAAGGCAAAACACAGGGCAGGCACACGTGGATGCAGACTGAGTCAGAAAGAGACTGAGGCAGGTGGAGACAGACAAGTGTGTGCAGTACCTCTTCTTGCCAGGTCCCTGGCTGTTTCTTTTCCAATGCCAGTGTTGGCTCCAGTGATGATGACTGTTTTCCCATCTAACCTCTCCTCAGATGACCAGCGGTTACAGCACACACTCCTGAACAACACACACACACCCGGTAAAGCACCAGTATGTTGATAAAAAAATAGTATTTCCCTTCATAATAACTAAAAGGATACGTTTCCAATCCCCCCCTGGCATTGCTGTCAATAATCTACTTTGGTTTAGCCAGAAACCTGATCCTTGTGTGTAATCTAAAAATATGCTAACAGAAAAATCAAACTTGCTAAACATGATCAATAAATTGATGATCACAGTGACTCTTTAACAGAAGAAATTTAAATTAGTTCCATTTAAGCACAGTGTTTGTTATATCTTGTACATATAATAGGTGATCTGTAGTTATAGTCCCTGATTATTATTGTAATATTAAAATACCTGGCTGCAAGAATGAAAGAAAATCTTCAGCTCAAACTCACTGCAACAGATTCACAGGAGCAAAAAAGAAACAATCAGAGTGGTTAATTAAACTGTTTTTTCAATCACAGAAAAACTGAATCGGCACCACAAATGATACATTTTTACACAGGTCTAATCTGCTGCCAGATCTGCTGCCTACAATATCTAGCATGTTATTAATAAAGACAACCACCTTGTCTTTGCCGTTTTTCACCGGTTGTGTTTTTTGTGGTTGTTGTTTTTTGTTTTTTGTCCTACCTGCAGTACATTCTTCCTTCAGAGCAAAACCTCAGGACCAGTGAGCCACTAGCGGGAAACGAATTTACCTCCTTCAGCCTTCCCAACAGTTCATCAGTGCATTTCGTGCTTCTCAGCTCTCCCCACCCCGCCTCGTCTGTCATCGCAGTACCACGACTGGGCCAATCAGGAGCGAGCTGACGCATAATTGATTCACAACTTCACAGGGCTGAAGGCTGGAGAGCAGGCAGCTGTCCTCCCGCCTCCTGCTGCCGGAGAAAGTCGAGTTATGGACTCAGCTGACTCAAGAAAAGTGGTTCAAAATCTCAGTTAGTCTGTCAAATCACTGCAGGGTTTGACATAAGGAAAGTACAAATGTAAAAACAGCTTGATGTAGCCCACCAAGACCTCCAATCACCTGTTAGAAGAAGATGAATGTTACAAGCATCAGTAGTAATGGTTGATTGTGTTGTAACATAATCAGATTTTGTCTTGAGAATAATGCAACCAAGCACACAACAAAAAACATAATCTTGCCAATTATTCAACAATTCCTTGAGAACAGGAGTTCTTGAAACAAGTGTGAAGATTAAAACAATGGTTGCTATATGCTGTCATACTGTTTATGCAACTGAACCAAGAAAAAGAAACACGAGATCAATCAGCAGGTTGGAATATCAGTGATATTTATTATTAGCTGCTGCTATTTATTTTTATTTATATAGAGCCAATTCATAACACAAGTTATCTCATTGTACTTTTTATAGAGCAGGTCTGGACCATACACTTTGTAGTATTAATACAAATAATTTTTTTGTCTATTACACATCACATTTTCAGCATTCACTAAACATCTTCAGCATAATATTTGTGGTATTGAGGGTATCACTATATGTGCTCATGAATAGCTTTGCTTTGTAGCATGTAGGAGAGCTTATATATATATAATTCTGAGTCTATCTCCAGCGGATGCCTAGCAGGTGGCAGCTCACAGCCCACAGCATTAAAGCAGTGCCATCATCTTGGGCTGCCCTGCAGCTCTCTGCAATTGCACAGTCCCTGTAAGGAGAGGAAAGGAGAGGAAATACATCAACTTCTTTGGCACATGAAACATTAAGTTAAGTTTTAAAATGCCTTTTTAAACACCCTATTATATATTTACTGCAGAATTAAGGAGAGATAACCAATCATGAATGATGGCTTCTACGTGGATTTGCTTTAACAGTGTGTCTCAGGGGAAGAGTAGGCTACATTGTGTACCTTCAGCACTTGGCCTACTAGCAGCTGAGAACGCTTTAAGACATAGCTGTCACATAGCTGATTGACATATTTTTGCATTTGGCACTTTCTAAGAAGACTGCAACGCCCACAAAGCCTAAGCTAAAATGAGATGTAATTTGTGATTAATGTTGTGACTTTGTGAGAACTATGTTAATGACAATGTATGGTGTGATGCTACCAGGTCACTTCATAGGTGGCTTGTTAAGTGGCTTGGTTTGGCTCATTTGAATTGACTGATCTTGAGTTCTGCTGCCACTGCAGTAGCATTTCAAACTGACTTGTAGTATCCTCCAGTGAGCAGCTGGTTTTCAGGAGTGACGGCGCAGTAGATGGTGGTGTTGGCTCCCTCTGCTGGGGTCTTGATTAGAAAATCGAAGATCTTGATTATGTCCACAAGAGGGCGCCCTAGGTGCCTTGTTATTTCAGTTCTCACAAGGCCAGGGTCCACAGAGTAAGCCATCACACCAAGAGCTGTAGGCAAATGTATGAATTAAGGTATAGAACCTTTTCCCAAATGGGTTTAGATGGTGGTTTTCTATTTCATTTGATTGTTCTCTTCAATCTGAGATCTTATAAAGATAGCAATAGTCAAAGACCGGTTACATTCAGAATCCATGGTGCATTCATCAGTTTTACATATGCATACAGTCATGGATGGTCTGCATAGTTTGCTACATCATGATAATACCTTAATAATACAACAAGCCATTCTTTGCTCTTAATCATCTCTATAGAAGTTGTTAGATTAATAGTGAGAATGGCAAACAAGGTGTGATCATTGGAGCAATGACTTATTCTGTAAGACAACTGTGCTTTCTGCAGACATGTTTCTCCTTGCTCTGTTTCTTGCCCAGAGCAATCGTGGTTGAGGCATGAGACTCTCACACTGGATAGAGATGCAGATTGATTTTTTACGCACAGGGAAAGAGACAAGGAGGCACAGAAAGACTCATAAAGACAAACATACAGTACATGTTGCATAATCTGGGTCACAAACACACACACCCTACCCTCAGTTCTCCTGGCCAGCTCTCTGGTAAACAGGACGTTGGCCAGCTTGCTCTGTGTGTAGGCCCTGACAGGGTGGTAGTCCTTGCCGCCCAGGTCATCAAACTGGATCTTGCCCATTGTGTGACTTACCGATGACAAGTTGATGACTCGGGAAGGGGCCGAGTGCTTCAGCAAGTCCAGTAACAGAAAGGTCAGAAAGAAATGACCTGAAGAGGGAGAAAGTCGGGGTGGAACTCAAGAGGAAGACCAGGAGTTTTGAGCGACAGAAAATAACACGCAGAAGGAGCAAAAAGTAAAACTTGGGAAGAAATATATTTATAGGCAACTTTAAAATTAATACAGAAAGGCTTTAGAGATTGGCTCACAGATTGAAAAGTAGTGAGGGCCACTGGCAGGGCCCCCAATTAAATTCATTTTAACCAATAAGACACATCCTTATACATACCTGACATTAACTAAACACATGCAAAATCTAACTAAAAGTTGTGTTTTTCCTCAGTATTTTAATCTCATACCCAAGTGATTGACTCCGAACTGCATCTCAAATCCATCTGCAGTAACGCTGTAAGCGCACATAGCCACACCTGCATTGTTGATCAGGCAGTGAAGAGCCTTCTCAGCTGGAAAACAAAATATAGGCTAAATGTTAGCTGCATTACAGTCTTTCTGAAAACATTATACTGTATTCTGGTGTGTGTGTATGTGTGTGCCACCCACTGTTGTAGATATTCTCAGCGAACTGGCAGATCGATTTGGTGTCAGCCAGATCCAGTTGCCTGGCGACTACCTTGGCGCCCTTCACCTCCCTCATAATGTCACAAGCAGCTTGCTCTCCTTTTGCCATGTCTCTGCATGCCAAAATCACCCGTGCACCTACGGAGATTAATATCTCTTAATGCTGACTGTGTTTTTGCGTGTACATTCATGTTAAAATTTCAACAAGATACGATGATGAGTGGGACTTTTAAACATGTCTCTTTGTCTTGGAGTTTACACAACCAACCTATTCACTATGGCAGCAACAAATTATAATACCAGTTCTCTGCTCTGGTGTCACATATTTTGAGCTGTATTTTATTGAAACCAGCATTTGTTTATTTCATTTAATCCACCACTTCAATACTTGAGCCACCTCATTATATTTGTTATTCTTGCGTGGGCTTGTTAAACATTTTCCACACAGGCGCTCTGATTCACACAGCAAGAAAGAATAATCCAAAGAGTCATGCCCATTTGACTGCCTTTAAATGTGCAGCTCTGCTTGCTTGCCTCTGCTGGCCAGGTCTTTTGCTGTCTCCTTGCCTATTCCAACGTTGGCCCCTGTTACTATAGCTGTCTTCCCTTCCAGTCGTACATCTGAAGACCACTTGGGGATAAACAGAGACCTGAGGCGTGAGGTGTGAAGGTATAAATGATTAGAGCAATATTAAGAGGGATCTTGACATACAATAAAAAAAAAAGAGCTTTGTAAGAAAAGTGAAGGGAATAAATTATTGTTTATGTGACATGTTTGTTTAAACTTCCTGTAGCTAAATTACAAGGTGGGTGAGGTTCACCGCCTAAAGCAAAACAGTGAATGCCAGTAACCACAGTCAATGTATAAAATGAAGTTAAAAGTCACAGGTTTTGATCTGACTTGACAACTATACTTGACGTTTCAGTGTCTGTCTGAACAGACCCAAAGCAACAACCTCCACCTTATACCCCAAAAGGGGTAAATAGAAGAATTTTGTGAATAGACATTTTTTTGTTAATATCTTTTTCTTGTATTTAACATAACCCCCCCCACACACAAGTCTACTTTTATCCTCTTTCTTTCTGGTGACGATAACCTACATGAGAAGTGTCTTACCTGATTGCTTGCATTTCTGTAGTTGGTGACACAAAATTGCACTATCCCTCCTAAAAATGAAGTGGCTCCTTATTTCACTGATGTTGTCTCAATTCCAGATATGTAAAGGAGGGGATGGCAGAGAAATCAGAGAGAGAGAGAGAGAGAGAGAGAGAGAGAGAGAGAGAGAGAGAGAGAGAGAGAGAATTATGTATTTGCCCTTTAAATGGTTTAGGGTGCATTGGGAAGTCATAATTACATACAAATCCTCCTCTGTTGGAAGTGTGTCATTGTAACTAATCAATTAGCCAGATTTTCAAATGGTGAGCAATCGCATGAAAAACACTGCTATATTTCAATGAGCCCAAGTAATAGAGAACTAATTGGTTGATATAGTTACAGCTTAATTATGTCATGGTGATGATAATAATTGACTCAGCAGACACCTTACACAACAAATTGTTGTGATGTCATGTTTCTTTTCTTTTATTATGCTGAAAAAAGTATTATTGTTGCCTGTCAGTGGTAAATGAAATATTACATCTTTCATTTGAGTAAAAGTAGATATACCACAAAGAAATATACTTCTTTATGTTGATACATTAACCTGTAAGCAGCATTTTAGTGTTATACCTGCTTGTCCAGGTGTTGCTGAGTGAAATTACCTTTTGGGAGTTTCATTTAACGCTCATTTAAAGCACTTTATCATATTTGTAAGCTCCTCATGTGTCCTGCACACAAAATCAGTGTATCTGTGACGTAACCAGAAACAGGATCGGATGAATGAACAGAAGTGTCTGTTCAGAAGAGCCACTGCAGGTGAAATTGAAAACCCGCATCCACAGGTGAGCCGGCTGTAATTTCAGCATTTCCCCACTGTGGATTTTCTGGTGCTTTCCGCAGGAAGGTCTCAGTTATCACTCAGCTAAATGTAAGGCTGTTCTCCTAACTGTTGATTGGGGTGACCATGACCAAATTTATATAACGCTGAACCCGCAGCATTAATCAAGAGTGGGACTCCCCTCCCCCTTCTTCAGCGGCATCAATTCCTTTTATTTTATTGCCATTTAAAAATTGGGTGTGTAGTGATAAATGGGCCATATATATTAGCATATTAAATGAGACTGCAGACTATATCTGGTCAATGTAGGAGCTTCTTATAAAAAAACAGAGCCGTGCCTTCAAAGTCAAAATTGTTCATATGCCTTTCTAACATACAGTTACCACTAGGGGGTGGACTGTAACAACTTCCTACATATCTTCAGTCAAATGAGAGACTGTTTTTCTCACACATGGGAGGCTGAAAAAAAAAGAAGCTGAAATCCTTTAAATCTACAGTCAGGTTCTGTGTTGGCCGGCCAGCCAGGTCTCATGTAAACCATGTGAAAGCTAGTCATAACTTCCTGTTTTCACAAACAACCATAAAATAAGCCGAGACAAGATGCGCGCGCACGCACACACACACACACACACACACATATATATGTGTAAACACACTCCTGCTGACCCAAACCAGGCCTAAATGAGTGCTGCCAGCTCCTCTCATGTGGTCTCTCTGTGACGCTAGCTGGTCTGACTGCTAGATTAGTTTCTCCTCACAGCTGCTCGCCATCCCCAGGCTTGATGAAAGGCTGCCTGTCTGTCTGTCTGTCAACAGGGGGACCAAGACAGAGAGGCCTTGCCACATGTGTAATTAGCATTGCTTCACAAAGATTATAGATCATCTTGAAGAGATAAACGACTCCTTCATTGTAATTTGTTGATCCCAGAATAGGAAAGTTGACATAAAGGAACCACAGAATGCAGGATAGCAGCCATCCCTGAAAGGATTAGATGCAAAACACATTTAATTCCAATCAAAATATTCTTTGTCATTCATTGCAATAGCTTTGATTGATATGTACATAATTATTTTAAGGCGGCATACATAAGGTGAGGTTGTAACTGTCCCTTTTAACTTCTGTAGTGTGCATTTTGCCGGCTGTTAATGGCACATCCACACCTCAGATCAAACGCAAGAAAGCACAAACAGAATATTCATTCTTGTTTCAAAAATGCATCAAGCTTCTTTTGAAATATACATAAACATTGATCTTATATGCATCATCTGAAATAATACATAAACAATTGACTTTGTAAAATTAATTAAAACTAAATAGAAACAGGCTGACATTTTACTTTCTTCATTTAGGCTTGCACATTAAAACATAATGAAACAAAACAGACCAGTAATAAAATAGCTTATCAAATGCACAGCATTTTCTTTTCTTAGACGCAAACTGCACTTGTGGTGCAATGAGAAGAGAATAAAAAAAAGTCGTACCAAAACTGGATGTGTCTCTTTACTGCAAAAAAGCTTCTGTTAAACCCTGAAAATTCACTCTGTGAAATGCTTTAAATTCATTGTGGGTTTTTATTGTTTTTTTTCACGAACTTAAATTCTACCCTGCCAGATGTAGCCAGTAGATTGAATTTTGTTCCAAACATCACACCAAACAATATTAGTACTTTCGTGGCATGATTTAGTGAGAGCAAACACAATTATTTCCACATGGTGGATATTTTGTTATGTAAGGAAACTCTTCAAATCATCCAAATTTAAAGCTAGGAGTATTCAAATTTTAACCTGGGCCATTCTGTGATGGAAGGTGGCAAATGAAAAATGTAGTGACTTCTTTGTATCAAAACCCAGCTGCAATTTCCACACAACAATAAAAAACATGACGTTCTTCCAGTCTGGATTTTAGTTCCACATCAAATTCCCAACAAAGTTCCCCATCACTGTCTGGAATGGAGGGAGTTTCCATCTGAAAAAGCCTGCAGCTTTCCACTGTACAATGAAAAAAGGCACTTTAGAGATGCCTGAGGCAAGATTCATACTAACTAATGTGTGAAATGGGACAGGATACAGAAGATTACATTCCAAACAAATTATATAGGCATAGATTGATAGCTTCACATCCCTAAATGTTGCTCTCTCAATCACCTGCCTTTAAGTAAAGGCCTCCCTTTCCTTGTTCATGAATGGAGAGCTGGTGTGATAGACAAATGACAGATGGTGTTTTTTTTCAGTTCATTTTGTAATTTCATTTGGAGCTGTGTATGATATGTAAGGTTACCACCAGAAATGATAGGAGTTCATTTTTGTGATAACTGATGATTGCGGAGATGATCACTGCACTGACAAATAAAGAGCCACTGATCCCTTTTCATTTTCCAAGTGGCCGCTCCTCCATCGCTTCCTGGACTGGCAGTGTTTCGTCTTGCAGGGTGCTGTAGGAGACAGAGTCCCCTTGTGACCTCAGGCTGCTCTGGAAGAACGGGGCCGTCTCATTGGCCTCCTCCTGGACAGGGCTCCCAAAGGCATGGTCCTGCCCCGTCTCCTCGCTGCCGAGAGACGTCTGGCTGACGTAGACGACGATGACATCACCGCTGAAGTTCATCACCTGACCGCTGGAGATGAAGGTGGTGTTGTTGTTCCCAGACACCTGACCTGAATGGAAAAAATGTGTGAGGGAGAAAAAGAGGAGATTGTGAGAAGTAAAAAAACACATAAAGACGCAAGCAAAAGAGTGAGAAACAGGACACTATTTATGGATAATATTTGCCTGGTATGTCCATTTTTTTTTGTATTACGATGGAGTATAATACCTCCCACCCCCCTACCCAGAGGCAGGCTTCCCCTATTCATGATGTAAGTGAATAAGGGAATATCTTGGCTAACCTCAGATGACAAATGGACAGTGGGTGTAATGACCATGCAGGATGACCACAGATAGGCCACAGCTACATAGACCGCCATATCATATCCTTTCTGCCTTATTTGTTTCAGAGTCCAGCACTTTTTAGCGTGAGAACCTTGAGATCTCTGAAAATAAGCTATTTGTCAAGGGTTTAGGGTTTTACAGGCATGGCTGAATAAATGCAAAAAAGAAAGAAAAAAGTGCTGTTCAACTCTTTCTAACCTTCCAGTAGCATGTTTCTCCAAAAGGGAACCTTCCATGGTTTACCTCAGCTTCTCCTTGTAAATCTAGCATGTAGAAACTTGTCCTGATCTGCTAATGTTCATGTAGAGTTCATATATGGGTTTCAGCCAGCCAGGTGAATTAGGAAATAAACTGTGTTTTTGTTTTGTAAGCCATCTTTCACCACATTAAGCCCCTAGTTCCTATTTTATCCAGCCTCCTGTCTGACTTCCCAGCCGACAGAACAAGCCTATTCGCCGTGACTAACAGCTCATGCCTCATGTATTCACACATAAGTGCACACGCACACACATAATCACAATGAATGTGAGCAAACAGGCTCTTGCAGACACTTTTACACACACGCGCACACACACGCATGCACACACACACAATGAAAAGCACACATAGCCATATAAAGTTGCAAAGACAGACAAACGCAATCACACACACACACCAAAAGTGTGTCTCTGTGTTCCCCATCTGAGAGCTTTTCCCGGAATACCAGTCTGAGAGGTCTAGCTTGAAAATATGTCATTTCACCACAACTTTGAAAACAAAGCTCTACGGAATCTGCTTTGCTTCTTCTGTTTATCCTTTCTTAATACCAAGCTGATTTTTCTGGATGCCCAACAACAATCAGTAGTCTACTGACAGGGGCTTTAAACCAAAGACTAAAGTTGAACTTTTGTAGAACCTCTCTCAGGGAAAACCACAATTGTAGTTCTCTGCAGAATCTTGCTCATTTTACCTGGACAGCTGCCAGTTTAATTCCTCGACCAGTAAAATATATCTGGGTGATTACTACTGTTGAGGTGCCCTTGAACGAACTGTTCCACTGGAGCAGTTCAGCGGCCAACAGATAAGACTGATGTTGTATTCTGGGCAGCTTTTATGTGTGAACTATGTGAGACTTGAGGCTAAAAAAATATTTCAGGTGGACAGGTGAAACCTCTGACCCATGCTTGACTTTTAAATAGCATGTGCGGGAAGTCTATTTAATGACCTGCCATTACTGCATGATGGGAAATGGTGTTCATTTCAGGCCAGCAAGCATGTAATTAAAGCAC